TTATAAAGATAAATGATACCATTCAAATGTGAATTCAAAATTTCTCCTGCTACTATTTCTCTTCCCCTTTGCAAGCTGAGTACTCCCGCCCTTCTCCCTAGGCTCATCCACTATCTGAAGCCCGGATGCATCATTTCTGAGATACAAGGAGGCATCACTGGAGAAAAGCTAACATGCCTACAGTTCTGCATGACCAGCCCCCAGGCTTGAGTTACTTACAGTGATGGGCAGGTCTAGTGGGTTAAGCAGCTTGTCCTGCTGGCAGAAAGCAAAAAAAGGCACAAAGAGAAGCAGACAGGATTTAGCTCAGAGTCCAGAAATAAGGCACAAACAGGGCGCTAGAGGAGAAAGGCTTAACACAGCAAAGCTACACAATACAGACACATATGCACATCTTGTATGTAGCTAAGATTTTTGGGGTTTCCTCAGAGCAGGACAGATGTTTCACTTCTCACATTTTCCAGTGGGAATATTCCCCTATGACTTAAGAAAGGTCCCTTTTCTGGGGGAAGGGGAGGTGGTGTGGTTTTTAAGTAAGTACATACAATGCTGAAGACTCTACTCAGCCTACCTCTCCTATATGGAATTAACTTTCTTAAAAAAAAAAAAAATATATATATATATTTCCATGCTGTATATAGGGTTACTTTCTGTCTCTCAAGGCCTTTCAGATTCCTTTCTGAGCATCTCCTAAACATAGATGTGCTGCTCCAGAATACATTATTAATGGGATGGTACATTTTTTCCTATGTTGCTACACAAACAGCTACATAAATTATTGGCAAGGTTTGAGGTTTGCCTTGCCCAGACATTATGATTTCTGAGGCATGAAGTAAACAGCCAGCCAGTAACTGTTATTCAGGTTTAAAGTCAAAAAGCAAGAACAAACCTGTCTCTTGTCCTCAGGTGCCTTCAGGAAGAGGGCATTGATCAGAGCAATGGCATATGTCTGAATCTCTTGGTTTGAGCTGCAGAAACAAAAATGGGAGGATCATAAGAGAACACACAGTACAGAACATTACAGCTTGCTGCTTTGCTTGCACTGTAAGAACATTTACTACAGCTATCTTGGATTTCAATGGACAAGCAGGATTCAGGTAATCTACTTTCATGCCATCCAACTCTTCGTAAGGTCTGCAAAAAGCTAACAGAAATTGCTGACTGATAGCTCCATTATTCAGAAAATAGTGCAGATTGCAGCCCAGCAGAGCTCGGAGTTCAGCAGCACCACAGTTTGTTTCCAATGCTGAAACTATCTCTGCAAAGTCTAGTTATACTGCAGTCTGTTATATGGATACAGCTAGAAATATATATGGAGCAAGTAATTTTTCTCCCCTATGTCAATGGAAGCCACCAAATGTAAATGGAACTCAGGAGGAAGCATGCCTCTCTTTATGGCATTGCCTTCCAACCTCCATAGTTTGGCCCAACTGACACGTCTTTTTCTTATTTTCACTGAAGAGCCTCTTCAGGTAAAGGGTGCTTAGTCCCTTCCTAGATCATGCACAGTGTGTGGTTTCACTTGCGATGTTTTGAATAAGCTTCCAAATGCCAATCACACTCTTTTCCACCTCCATCTTGATGCTCTAGCAAATCCAGTTTTGTTTCTTGCGATACTATTACTCTTGCAAGGCTTCTGCCAAACTTCAAGCTCTCCTGATTAACAGAAGTCCAGCATATCAACTAAATCAATTTGTGTGTGTATACTTTAAAAAAAAATTTAATATATTTTTTAATATATATATAAAAATTTAAACTTTTATAAAACATCTAAAGCTAAAACATCTTTTAGCTTAAATAGCTATTTTCCCCACTTTGGTATTTATCCCTGGCATATCTGTGGATAACAACCATATTCTCTCTTCTATTGCTCCCTTCCAAATCTTCTTCATCTTGGTCAATCTGCCATACTTCAAACATGCAAACGTTCATGCATCGTCCTGGGTTTTCATCCTCCAAGCTTGGCAGGCCTCTCAAGTCTGTCATTTCACCTCTTCTACCCCCCTTTTTGGGTTTTGCCGCTCTTTTCACTACACTGCTGGCCTTTTGACACAGCAAAACTATTTTAAAATTAATTTATCCTCTTCTAACTCATGTCTTTTAGACTTGGACCTGTTCTTCCAGAATCTATCCTCTGTTAAAGATTGTTCCCTCCTGATAGTCTTGCCAAACACCAGCAAATTCTGACTCAGTCTCCAGCCTTCCTTTCTACAATATTCCCTGGACGGATACTTCCTTCAGCAATCTTCTATGTTCTGGAAGCACTTAAGCATATGAGTGTATGTCTTGAACAAAGATGTTTTGCTAAAACAACTGTACAAGTGTGTTCAGTGTTAGGACCAAACCTGTGTTTTACTAAAGTAGAAATTACAAAGCTGAAAGAACATATACTCTTTGCAGAACAAAGATGCTGCAGCGTTCATGAGAACTTGTTTAGCTTTTCTGTTAGAGTTCAAATGTGTAAGCACTCTAAGCACAGACATTGATGCCATACATTGTTCGCACTATAATTCTGTTAAACTACTGTTCATTGATTAAGGAATATTAATCATATTCACAAATGGTGCTTTTACACATTTTCAGAATTAAAAAGCTTGAAAAAACAAAAAAAACAACTACTACTTAAAGCTCTAACAAATGTATGCTACTTTTTTTTGTGGAAGAGTAGAACTGACCTAGACAAACAGCCTTAAAAGCCAGATATTAATTTGTCAGTTTGTTTGGAAAGAGAGCAAGGGGATGTGGGGAAAAAAAGCAAGAAAACCCATTGTTTTCTTCCTTAATATGCAGGACAAAAACCAGAAGATGATGAACTCTTAGATTCCAGTGGACACAATTTAAAGAGGGGTGAAGGTGACAGATGACTTGATGCGGAAGCTTTGGGAAGTTGTTTCAGTAAAATGCAGGTTTGTTCCTAACACTGAACACACTTGTGCAGTTGTTAAAGCAAAATATCTTTGTTCAAGACTTATACTCATGTGCTTAAGTCCTTCCACACACAGAACGTACTTTTCCAGGATCTTATTTTTTTCAAAAATCTGTTAGAAATCCTAAAGTTCAAGTAAGATGTCATATCAGTAATACTTAAAAAATAGCATCTCTAAGTGTTTTAAATGTAAAAGGATATATTTTCAAATTAACAGATATTAATAAAATTTATTTAAATCACACCACTGTTGGGTGGACACTCACACTTGCAGATGAGAAATGAGCTGCCCCACGGTGATCTCTTCTGCTATCTTCTGATACAGAGTCTGACTGTTTAGCACCATGCTTTCTAGAATGGCTAGGGATCGTTGGAGGATGGAGACGTCTACCATAGGCTGACTCACATACCCTGCAATCTAAAAACAGATGACCCAGCAGGTCAACAGATGCCCATTCAGGAAACCTTATGATGAGTGAGACAGGCTAAGGGAGACAGAGCTCAGAAAGCTGGATGCACTGTGCTCTCAATGAGTACTCAGCTTCTCAGAGTCATCTTGCTGTTCCTGGAAGCTGCATTAAAGCAGAAAAAGAAATAACATGCACTTGCCCCCTTTACCTAAACTCACCTGTTTGATGAAGGTTATTGAGACCATGTCCCAAGAGACAATACCATGGTCCATGAGCTCCAAGAAGGCAGTCAGGGTGAAAGCCAACATCTCACTGTAACTGAGAAAACGAAGAACGCAGTTACAAGAGATCTGGTAGCAAGAAAAAAGCTTGTTCAAGCTAAATAAGCTGGATAAGAGAAAAATGTCACCACCTTCTAATAAAACAGGCTACAGTTTGGCAGCTGGGGGAGCAATAAAGTAGTTGCATTCATGAAGATAATTTTATTGTTTTGTGGAATCGTATTTTATTTTTTCCTGATTACAAGCACAAATTAAAACTAGCAATGATAAGTCCCTAGTCCTGCCACTAGAGACTCACAAACACCTGGATCAATACCTCGCTAATCAAAGGAATAACAGGAGAAACAGCAATGCAGTATTTAATCCTGAGCAGTGCAAAGTATCACTACTCAAATTCCACACTTGCATGTGAAGGCAAAAAAACCCAGCCCAACAAACCCCAGAATATTCAGTACAATGACCATCAATTTAAAAAAAGACAACTTGAAAAGGGGAAAGATTTTTAAGCTGATTAACTGAAAATTTAAACCACCTGCAAATGCTAGGTTTTTCAAATGTTGTCAGATTTGAGCTCCAGAGCAAATTCATATCACAAAACATGCAAAAGCATTTGGAAATTATAACCCCTCCACACACACACAAAAAACCTAAACAAACATGCTTTAACATCAGAGAAAAACAAAGAAAAATGAATTGTCATTCTGTAACTATTGGGACCTGGCTTGAAACAAACCAAAAGCACAGCATGAATTGTGGAAAATTTAATACATAACCACAACACAGAAAGGTAAAAAAGACTGAGGGAAAGATTGCAAAACTTGCTGAAAACATATTAGTTGCTAATATATAAGAAAACAGAAGACCTATGAGCATTACAACAATAAGTCATCAAGACTTTAAAAGTATTTTCAATGAAATAGAACAACTACAGCAGAAAAGCCAAGTGAGTTATTTGCATCAGAGTTCACCGTGATTGCGATTGGGGAAGCTTCCAGATCAGAGTTTGTTTTTTTCCAGGTTTTTTGTTTGCTTTTAAGAGAAGAAGGAGAGTCTTCAAATCTGTCATTTGAACATCACTAGAAGACATTCTGGAACAAGCCATTAATATGAAAAACAGATCTCCAGGACCAGATAATATCCACTAAAGAATTCCAAAGGAACCACGATAAAACAAAACATTGCCGAACTACTTATTGTGCTCTGCAGAAAGTGGCAAATGTAATGCCAATTTTTAGAGAGAACTCAGGCAGGCATCTGAAGGACATATCAGGCATTTAGCTATTTGTAACCAGAAAGATAGGTGGAATCTACAGTAAAAGAATAACACCACTAGAAGAAACAGAAATATTTAACAGGGAAGAATTGCTATGTCTTTTGTAGAGGGAAGTTACATTTCACACCTGTATGTGTATTGGGTTTACAAGGCAAGGTTTTGGTAGCAAGGGGCTGCAGAGACTGGGGCTGCTCCTGCCAGATACAGCCAGTCCCAGACACCTCTGTGACGAACCCACCACTGGCCAAAGCTGAGCCTGTCAGCCAAGCTGGTGGCTCTTCTGTGTAAGCATATTTAAGAAAGGGTAAAAAAACTGCTGCATGGCAGCTGCGAGAGAGGAGTGAAAAAAAATGCGGGAGAAACAACCTTGCAGACATCGAGGTCAGTGAGAAGGGGGAGGAGGTGCTCCAGCTGCTGGAGCAGAGATTCCCCTGCAGCTTGCGGAGAGACCACAGTGAAGCAGGTTGTCCCCTGCTGCCCACGGACCACCACGATGCAGCAGATATTCACACTGCAGCCTGTGGAGGACCTCACACTGCAGCAGGTGGAGATGCACTGAAGGAAGCTGCCACCTGCGGAGGGGCCATGCTGGAAGCAGGTTCCTGGCAGGAGCTGCAGCCTGTCGAGAAGAGTCCATGCAGGAGCAGGTTTCCTGGCAGGAACTGTGGCCCACAGGGGACCCACACTGGAGCAGTCTGCTCCTGATGGACTGTATCTTGTGGGGGACTCACACTGAAGCAGTTTGTGAAGAACTGTATCCCACGGGAGGGACCTCACACTGGAGCAGGGGACAAGTGTGATGAGGAAGGAGCAGCAGAGACAAAGTGTTATGGACTGACTGCAATCCCCATTCCTCATCTTCCTGTGCAGCTCCATGGGGAGAGGAGGCAGAAGAGTGGGGAATGAAGGAGTAAAGGTGAGCCTGGAAAGAAGGGGGTGGAGGGAAGGTGGTTTTACTTTTGTCTTTGTTCCCCACCATCCTACTCTATTTTTGATTGGGAAAAAAATAATTTTTCCCAAGTCAAGTCTGTTTTACCCAACTCATGAGCTTTTTCATCTCGTTTTCTTCCCCTGTCTTGTTGAGGAGGGTGAGTGAGAGTGGCTTGGTGGGCAGCTGGCAGCCAGCTGAGGTTAACCCACCATGATACTGAAGGTCTCTGAACCAATCAGTAAGTCAGAATGAGAACAGTTAAGTACAACTCCTGGACTTTGAAGGAGATTTTTATGAGATGCTTCACTACAGCATCTTAAAAAACTCAAAACACTCAGCTGCTAAAGGGTTAAAAAAAGATCAGAGTTACAGATCAGAGTTACTTTCTTGCATTAGTAACTGACTGAAAGACAAGAAACAAAAGGGTAGAAATTAAATGGTCAGGCTTTAAAAATGATGAAAAGTTACAAATTTCCCCACAACAGCACAGCAGCACTGGAAAGAGCTTAAGAGCTAGGGGAAGCATGGAAAGATTGATTAGCACTCTGGAATGGCTGCCATAGTTACAGTGTTAATGGACTAAGACTGCAGCTTAGAAAAGGCATCACTAACGGTTGATATGAGAGAGAGATCTAGATGGTTATGAATGGTATTGAGAAATTTTAAATTCCTCTGTCTTCTCTTAAAATATGTAGAGGGAACCAAATGAACGTTAGGTTACGTGTTTAAAATAAAGGAAGTATTCTTTTCTTATAGGAAAAGTAACTGTGGAACTTCATTTCCACACAGTGCTGTAGATGTCAAAAGAATAAATGGATTAAAAAATGAAGAAGAAAAATCTATGGAAGAAACACCCAAAGGTTCTTAAAACAAAAGAGATACAATTTCTGCTCAAGACACCCGTAAGTTGGAAAACTATTGGAGACTGAAGACTGATACTTTCCCTGCTATACGTTCTTTAGCCTTTTCCATTCCCCAACATAAACAGACCTTTGGCCTTCATAGCAAGGTCTTCTTATGATGCAGGTCAAAAAGTACTGACCATGTATACAAGAGCCCGCAACATGCTTGCTGCTGACTGGCACATACATGCCACCAGTTCTACAGGAATGTTCTTGTGTGCAACTGCATGTGTGTTTTTCATAGGAGAACTTCTCCCTTAGACTGAAGATGAATAACTGCTCAAGTAGATTATGACCACAAGAAAGGTAATAAAAGTCACTTCAATTATCAAAGTGACCTTTCAATGCAAGTTTCACACACCATAAACATCTCCTCTTCTGCCTCATGAGGTTTAGCAAAGGACGAGAAAGACTTTGTCTCAACCTATACACAGGCATTTGCTATGAGGTTAGTTGCTTAACGCCACTCCAGCAAGCAAAATTAGCCCTTTATTTGAGGCTCTGTTTCAGAGTCCTGGAGTACAGGAAACTTACTGTGACAGAAGTTTGGTCCCGCTCTCCACAAGCCGTGTCAGCACTGTTATCCCTTCCATGTTGATGAACTCTGTGGCAAAGGTCACATCTGCTGAAAGTTTAGCTAGTTCCTTCATGGCATCCAGTCGGGCTTCCATACTGTGTGACTGGATCCTCTCCATCAGCTGGCGAGCTGCCCTAGACTGGGAGGAAAGAGGGATGATGCCCGTTACAGACTAGTCCCCTGCAGACTAAGTTCTACCAGCATCAGCATTCTGTCACAAGTCCACGAATGGGCAGAGAGAGCTCAGTAAGGGTAGAGAGTTATCAGCAATGACAGGATACGTACCAGCAGTCAGTAAGTCTAAGACAGACTAAAAAAAGGCTGACTCAGCAACAACTACAGCCAAAGAAGAGGCAAGTAAAATGCTATTTTACATGCCAAATGGTTGTTTTTCTTCTTGGTGAGAGGAGCGGAGAGGGATATAGAAATATGGAGTGAGACTATTAAAGAAATATGATATTAAAAAAAATCTCTCAAAGAGAAGCACAAGCTCATTTTGTGTATCCACATGACATTCTGTAAGATTTCTCAGACATAAATCAATTATATCCTCTCAACTACCTCTTTCCAAAATAACTGCTTCCTGTTCTACTCACTCTCAGCTATATGCCACCATGATGCTTGCACAAAAAAGGTTTAAGAATGTCAATAAAAAGGAAGCTGCAGCAAGTCTGCAAAAGGCAACTGTTGAGGTCACAATAGCAAGAATTCACTAGGAACAACCCTCTCTGCATCAAATTTGTCTTTTATTTTAATTTCTGCACTCAGTCACCAGTACTGTTGCTTTCCAACTGATAATACTAACTGCACTCATATCGAGAATGTGTCTGTCAGGTGCTTTACAACATGCTAATCTAGAAGATGCAATAAAAATGTAGACTGGATTTATTTACAGAAAGTCCTATAAAAGGACAGAGAATCCAAAGGAAAGATACACACCACGACCAGGAGGGAAAACAGGAGCGTGCACCTCATAGTGCAGAATGGCCCACAACAAAGTTAAGCCCCCTACTATTTAGGAAGAAGGAGAAAGAAAAGTTGAGAGGAAAGAAACAGCTTGTCATATGAGGACAGCTACTGAGAAACAGAAATGTGAGGAAGCATTTACCGGGGAGACTGCCAGCTGTAGGATAGTTCCATTCTTGATGTCACAGCGAGTCTGAAAGAAAACATTAGACTTTAAACTGCAGAAAAGCGGGGGGAAAAGAATGCCACTGGATCTACGGTGCACGTTTGTATGCACAAGTAAAGGGGTTCCTATACCACATAATCCTAGTGATGGTATGGAATTGAGTCACTGGGTCCTCGCACTTATGGGCGTGCAAAGGGAGAAGTGCAAGGCTCCTCGGTTGAATGACAGCATTCGAGTCTGAGCATTTTTGATAGCAGAGATGCTGCCCCTCAAGGATTAGCAACCATATTGTTTCATGACACTAGTCCAAGGCATTCTACACTCTTGCCCAGGACATCAGCAAATTGCCACCTCTCACACTGACCTGCTCTGTGATGTACAGCTGAGGACCATCAGCATACCGCAAGGTGTAGTATTCAGGGTTTGGCAACGACCACCTGGCAGAGGAAGTAGAAGGATACATAAGTTTCTTCCTCTTCTTTCTTCTGGCTCTCAATTTGGAACAGGAGCTTGATCACAAGGAGGGTGGAAAAGACCTTTCAAGAAAAGCTTTAGCGTAGGAAATTAGGTCTCCCAAAGAGGAGAGAAAACACCTTTGGGATGGGACTTCAGCCTACTCTAAATCAAGCTCTGTGGAATGTCTGAAGAAGCCTCCACTTCAGGAACAGCAAGATGGGCCAATCTTCAGAGACACTGATCCTAGAGGTATACATATACACACACTCGGAATTAAAATAAAGATGCAAAGCCCCTGTTTTCCAGGAGATCTTTTTCTTCCTGATTTAAACCCTGACCTGTTCCATGGCCAAAACTTGCAGTAGGCAGGATGGATCACGCTAGCAGCACACAGACAAGCAGCAGAGACTTTCCACAGTACCGCAGCAAGATTTGTCAGAGAGACAGACTTTCCCCGCAAAGGTTCCCAAAGAGCTACTCACCCATCACAGACCTCCTTGATGATGGATGCAAGAGGCCTTTTCTAGAACAGAAAGAGAGAGTCCTCAGTAGCCATGTTCCTCTCAACCAGAAAGGAATACTGCTGATTTCTATGCTTCCCACATTCCAGTATCAAGGTTGTGGTGCTTTTCCTCCCCCATCTGGTTACCACATCTCACCTGATCTATTTCCAGCAGCTGGGCATTGGCACCTGGCCACTCAACAGCTACTTTCACAATGTCTGAAGGTGGTGGCATTGCTCCAGACTCCTCTAGGTGACTTTACAACAGCATACACCCCCACACCTGTTAAAAGAAAGGATAGTGAGCCGCTGTCTGAAAACTATTTCAATTGTTACATTGCATCTAATACCAAGCTTCAAAACAGTCCATAAGACCAGCCTTACAGTTTGCTGGGCCTGCTAGGGACAAAACATCCAGTGTACTAGAGATCAAGGCCTCATACTAAAACAGCACATAGTGAAATTGTATGCTCAGCCTTATCAGCTAAGGAATATTTCTGAGAGCTTGTTGGGGTACTCACACAAGAAGGAGAGTCATTCTGATCAGCAAAGCCCCATCTGCCACTCACTGTCTGTACTGCCAGGTCAGTTAGCTCCCTCAGATCAGATACTGTCTGTACATGAGAGAGGGAACATACTGTCCAGGTAGTCTTCCTCCCATGGGCTGGTGTTTACTGACGCTCCATTCATATTTCTTAGATACTTTTATCCACTCGAGATAGCCAAACAGGCTCCTAGGCAGAGCAGCAGCAGCTAGCTTTATCCCATTCCCTTCCTATAACATCATAAATCCAAAACATGAATATCCATCACAGAAGAAAAGTTAACTCAGCATTTGCTTGGGCGGTCTACCTTTCACTCCTTTATCTGCCTTAGTGCATAAGCTTGTGTTCATGGTTTGGTCCCAGACTGTTGTTAGACTGTTAGGTTTGTGCTTCATCTGGTAGTAAGAGGCTGTAAAAAAATGTCCTCTTCTGGGTGGAAGGAGTAGCCCTTCTCTCTCCCACAAAGCCATTGGGAGAAAGTCACATGGGAGAGAGACAACTCTTCCCATCAGCAGTTCTCAGGAACAAAGGCTTCAAACTGCCAAAAATGCGAACTGACCAGACGTGGAAGTAGTCCTGTCCTTAACGACTCCTCCTGAGACTTAATTTCCACCATACCCTGAATTAAATAGTAAACATCCGAAGAACAATTTCCCAGCTCCTATTTCTCCTATCGGTGCAACCCAATCCTTCCCCAGAACAAAGATGAACTGTGCTGAGCACAGACATTGTTTCATTATTAACATACTTTCCCAACTTCCTTGATCAACCGAGAAAGAGATATTAAGACAGGCTAGGACCTGCAGGGAAACCAGCAGCCTTTGGAATTTTCCTGATGCAAGGCAAGTAAAGAAGAGAGAACTTTCCATGGATGAGCAAAGACCAAGCAGCTGCCTAGGAAATTGGTCTACACACCTGTCCTAGAAAAGGGAACTTCTATTAAATTAGCTGAGTCTACCACAAAAGGCATGTATGCCAGGCCTGTATAAGATGGTGATTTAGAGACCCACTGATGATCTCAATTAATGAAGCTCATATGCCTTTCTTCCCTCACAGAGATTGGTATCACAGCATGGAAAGATATGAAAACTCAGGCGTGCTAACGCTTCTGTGTTTGTACACATAGACCACTCTATCAGGCCTCTGTGACATTATTCCAATCCCACTTGAGGCAGCTCCCTCACCTAGGAAAACAGAATGCCATGATCTCCTGCTGCAGCCTTCTGAGATAGTCACTACATTATCATCACTCCTGCCTGCTGGAATTGAGGATGAGGGGTGTAAGTTTAGCATTTCTTTCATAGCACCTCCTGGAAATGCTCAGCATTAGCATTGCAGCTAGCCTTGCCCTTGAGTCTCCACCGGATCACAGATCCTTGCTTTACAATGAAGGCACTTGCTGGAGAGAGAAATCGGCCATTCCCCTATTAAACCAGGCATTGCTTACCATGAGAAACCCTTCTGAAGCGGCCTTGCTCAATTTGCTCTATTCTCAGCATGTGTGTGGTCTTTGCAGCTCCTGCAGGAGTCCAGGAAGCCTGAACTCCAAGGCTCTCTGGGGCTTCAGCCGATCCAAAAGAGAGACTGGTATTGCACGTGCACAGGAACACCATCCTCCTCTGGCATTCTCTTTCCTTTTTAGCATTAATCCCAAGAGTGGCTCACGTTTTCTTAAAACCCATAAAATGACTGTAAGACTAAATACATCTCATGCGGAAACATGCCAGTCGAGTTGGGTTCAGCTTTGCCAGTTTCTTAAGTAACATCTCCAGCCTTTCAGATAAGCAGCACAGCATTGGCTCAGACTAACGTATCAAGAAAGAGCTGGCCTCGGAAAAGCAACAGATGCAGTGCATCAGTCAGGTTGAGCAGGTCCCAGGGGTGATGACAGGAATCATATAAATGCTTTTCTGTTACACAAAATTGCAAATTAGAGTCAAGCAGTTACACAAACAACACCTGATATTTTACTTCCTAATCCTGGAGGGAAGACAACCAAGCCATCTCCTGCTCCAAGATTTGCTCTGGATAAAAATTTTACCACTCTCCTCTTGATAACAAACAGGAAAGCCTGTCCTTCAGAGAAGGTGCATCAGGTAAAACACTCCAGCTTGGACAAGACGAAGACTGTTCATCTGAGAGCTTAATTAAATTCCCAGCCTGCGCAGCCCACAGAGCTAGGCTAATTCACAAACAGAAAGCACTGAGTGTACCATGTCCTATGGAAACACTGTCTCCAAACCCCAGGAGCACATGTTAACGTACCTCCCTTTCCTCACAAATTTTGATTACCAGTGTTCTATTCTTTCACTCCCAGACAGAAACATACAATTTACTCTTTGCTAAGAGACACATGTTAACTTCCAGCAAATATGTTCTCAAGGTCTCCAACCCTAAGCACATATGCAGCTGCTGGTGCTATTTTCATACCGATTACAACCAGTAAATTGGACTCCACTCCTTTCTTCTACACTCATGCAGAAGCAGCTGGTCTTCTTTTATCCAAAGTAAACTAGAAATTCAGGCAATAAAGCATAAGGAACCCAGGACCAGAATAGCACCTTGCCTCATTGTCTAAGCAGAGCAAAGCAATTAGGAATCTGCATAAAGAAAGGAATGCTTTGAACCCAGATATATTTAGAAGACTGCAGCCCTCTATATAGCACTTATTATTGGGGTTAGTATCCTCAGCAAGCCTACCCATACTAGTGATCCTCAGCTTGTTCACAAGTCAATGCCCAACACCCGATATTTCTGAAGACAGGAAAAGTTGGCCAAGCATGCCACACTGCAAGTCAGAAGAGTCCCTCCTAATTCTAAAAATATGACTTTCTGTAACATCCAAGCACAGTGT